CAAATTCTTCTTTAATCTACATATTAACGTTTCTTTCTTTTAAAACCAGGCTTATTGTCCAAACAAAATAACCTCATTCATGCTCAAATCTTAGTTTAATTGATCGTCTAATAACTTTTTTGACTATGAGAAAGCTGATAGAGGTACATTTGCATCTTCCAACAACTGTGATCAACCAACATGGTCTCACTCCCACAGCATAACATTTTACTCTAGGTGACAAATTGTCGGTATATTACGCTTCCGGGCATCCAACACGTCCCTATATTACGAGATCAGAAAAATTAGGAAACATGAGAACCATTTGGAATGAATCTACACATGTAAGTTCGTTTTACTTAAATCGCTTTGAAAAACACTATCTAACATCATTAAAGTGCTGGTTAAGGCTGGGGATAAGGTTATGGTTAGGGCTGGAATACATGGCTGGAATGTGTATTACCGTGGGAGCGTCATTCTACTGGATGTCATCCATCACCCAGCGCGTAGCATAAGAGTGTGGAAGGTCACCTTTTGCGTTCCTCAAAAACGCCTCGGGACTTTAGAAATTTCATTTTTATTTTCATTTATTTTTTATTTCATTTATTTATTTATTTCACACTTGGTACAAAAAAAAAAACAAAAAAACACACTTTCTATTAAAAACACTACAACCATGTGTGAAAAGGAGCAGGAAGAAGAAAATATTCTTATTAAACCCTGCCCCCTATCTACTATCTAGAAATTGAAAATACCCCCTATCTTGAAATCGTCAGTATATTACACCTCGGGAGTGAGAACGGGCTGGATCAACACTTTGAGCGCCTTTTTTATCCAAGAATTCCAACAGGGTGCAAAATGTCATAAACACAATGGCTTACCACCAAATAAGTGAGTGGATTATCTGCTAGCTGTCATAGGTAGGTTAAATATTAGCTTTAACTTATGAGCTTATTCATAAGTTAAAGACCTCAAAATCGTTTCCTGTATTGCCACGAGTTGGCACAGAAACACAACCACCCAAACACATGCGGTAGAGCAGATAATCCACTGGCATCGGCAATAAACAGCCACTGTTGTGTAAACCACGGCTCTGACTTCCACCTGAACTCGACTGATTTGTTTCCAGCGCGAATGCCAAACTTCCAGACCAACTCCTTATGTAAGCAGCTCTAACCTTGAAGAGGAGGTTAGTGGGACACCTGTGGGTGAACCTTTTCCTCTAGCGCTGACCATCAAAGCAGAGATGTACATCAGATGATGTAATAGAAGCCTCATAGCGGTGTGGTGGGCTTTGAGTACGTGTGTCTGTGTGTGCGTGCATGTGGGAGGACTGGTGGGCTTTGTGTGTTTTTTGTGCGTCTATGTGATGGGTGGGTGGACAGAAGAACGAGAGGTAAAGTGTGAGAATTTGAAAACACTCTGTAAATTAGCAACAATTTAAGTCAGAAGCAAATAAGAAATACGCACTCCGACATCTGAAACATTAAATTATTATTAATAACAATCAAAAACAGAACAACAAAGAATTTGTATTCTTGTCCCTCGCTATAAGAAAACCAAAATATCTGCCAGAATAAAATCTGACCCGCTCGAGAAAGATTTAACATATAAACTATAACTAATATTTAAAATGTACTCATTTGTAGGCTAAAATTTCACAATAGGACGGCTTATGTCCTCTATAATTTGATATTACTTTTGTAGCACCAGCTTTGTCTTAAAGAAATAATATGTCTTCTTTATTTAATTTCTACCCTACTAATACAATATTAAATAACAAACCCCAGCCCCGCCCCCACAAACACACCCACAAATATATTACACAACAGCTTTTACAGGCTGACGAGTCCCATTATGTGACAGAGCAGAGCTTGCAGTCACTAAATGAAATGGTCTTCCAGGGAGATGTGGGTGATTTGGGGGTCTCTGTTCCCATCAGTCACATTGTCGAACACAATGTCCTAAACACAATGACGACAACAGAAGAAGAAAAAGAACATTGACTCACAGCTGCATAATCAAGTAGAGGTGGTCGGGGCTCTCGTAGATGTCTTCCAGTGCCACAATGTTCTCATGCTTGATCCTGCAAAACAAAGACAAAGCAATCAGTAAAGATTTGTTTTTTTAAAGTTTCTCCCACAGTCACAGTCCAGATTAATGCTCCAACTGTCTTTTGTGCACCTTAATATTCTGAGTTGTACATTGTTAACACTTTATGTCTCAACCAACAAAAAAGTGTCACCTCATGATCCATTTCTTAGCTGCTCTGAAGCTACTGATTGAATTAAACAATGAGTTTTAATGAGCCTCCCACATGCCCAGCTATACTATCGCAAAGTAATAAAGTCATAGACAGGCAGTTAAATGACAGTAAAGTTCCTGATTTCTCAGTACTGATTATAGAAATTTCAGTTTTTAGTCATATTAAATACTTGTTGAAACTTATTTTTCATATATTAAGATGATTTTGACATCCTTGCAAAATACTATAATAAATAATATATATTGCGTATATATGTTGAATATGAACATACACATGCTGGTAACCATTAGTTACATCTTACTAGTACAGGGTTAGACCCACTTTTACCTTTTGCACTGCCATAATTCTATATATTACAATCCCAACAAAGGCCTGTAGTCATTCAACACGAAGTGTTTTCTTGTCTTCTTCTGAAATGTAGTTGGCTGTAAGTATTAAAAACTGGAATTACTTAATTTCTTCTTCTTTCCTCCCCTCATCCACAACCGGCTACAGCAGATGGCTGCTCTTCCTTTAGCCTGGTTCTGTCTGAGGTTTTTTTCCTGTTAAAAGGGAGTTTTTCCTTCCCACTGTTGCCAAGTGCCTTCTCACAGGAGGTTGTCAAATTGTTGGGGTTTTGTTTGTATGACTTTAAGGTCTTTACCTTACAAAATAAAGTGCCTTGAGGTGCCTTGAGTTGCGATTTGCCACTAACTAACTAACTAACTAAGGTACAGAAAAAAATACAGCTGAAGGCAAAGGGGGTTTGGTTGGACCTTACTGAAGAGATTTACTGAAAAGGTATTAAACCAACAAGAATCACACTGAATTATAGGGCGTTAAACAATTTATATCTAACTTTATACAGTGTGCATGTTTGTCACAACCCTAACTAATCCCAGCAAGGCAGCTACCATGTTTTCTCTGTCTCATCCATACTCGCAGCAACCAGTGAAGACTGTGGTGTACACGACTCCAGAAAAATAAATAGCAATTGGACCTTGAATTTAGATCCTTTTGTCATTGCAAAAATCAAGAAAAAGTTATTTTACTCTGATGTCAGCACAAACTTTTCACAAAAGTCGAACCAACAATCTATTTCAACCAAAACTTCTTCACACTTTCTCATCACAATTTCTGCTCATTTTTTTTTGCTTCTCTGCTGATTTCTCCATGGTTACAGCAGCATGATGGGGTGTTTCCCTTCTTCCGTGTGTGTGTGTGTGCGTGTTTGTGTGTTTGTCAGTGTGTAGCTGTCTGTTTGTTATCCTAATATGCCGTGCCTAGTGGAAACACGACTAATTTTGTGTGCGTGGTTGCAGGTTAATCATCTTTTGCACAGTAAACAGAGGTAATCCCCCTTGGCCTAACTCAGGCATATACACACGGAGGCACACACAGCAGGTGTGCAGGTAAACATCTAACACCTATTAAAGAGCGTATGATCGCAGCGGCAGCAGGTATGAATCACAGAGCTGAGACGTGACTCATGCTCATACAAGTACTGGTTGAAAAGGGGTAATGTGTGCGTGAGCGTGTGTGTGTGTGAGCGTGTGTGTGTGCCCTGTCAAGGATAATGAACGGCTGACAGGAAAAGCCTGAGTGTAATGGCAGAGCAGATCCGGAGTGCATTCAGAAAAACCCTCTTTTTGCATTAAATGCCTGGTGTGGCAGTTAGTTGTTCTCATTCACGGATTTCTCCTGCATGTATCTCCTGTTGCTGCTGCACATAGACTGGGTAAATAACAGGATTGTGTCATTCAGACACAGGCCTCTTCGACATTAACACTTCCTCACGCCTTCATGCCGACATCCCCGCAACGGTGATGTGAGAGCCACGTTTGCCACACGTGCAAAAGACTCAACATTTGATCGTTAATTAATTAATTTTTCTCTGGCAATGTCACGAACAGCAAGGTTTGCATGCTTGTGTGTTTGTGTTTGCTGCAGTGTGAGTTTCGAAGCATTGTGCCCTATCCCTAGCACATAGACACTAAGAAATTGATCTCTCTTCTGCAAAAAGCATGACGTGCATCAGAGGCAAATATAGGAATCTTACAGCAGATTATAAAACAGAGTTAGTAAGATAGTGAGACAGGTGACCAGATTGCTCATTCAGATGTTAAAAGACACCTTGAGATGTGAGATCTGTACATATTTTAAAATATATCAATATATTTTTAAAAACGAGATTAAAACAAAATTAAGTAGATAATTGCATCTGTGCTTTTTGTCCAGATCAGCACGGGCTTGGAGAAGGCATTTGACTACATCCCTCGTGGGATCTTGTTGAGCAGGAGTATGGGGTACGTGGCTCATTGCTATGGGCTATGTGGTCCAGTGAGAGCTTGGTTCATATTGAAGGCTTTAAGTTGGATCCCCTCCCCTGTGGGTGGTGGACTCTGCTGGGGCTTGTTATTGATTCTGTTCATGTTCACAACTTTCAATGGGCAGAATTTCTAGATATAGCCAAGTGTGGTCTCAGGATCTCATCTTTGCTGTTTGTAGATGATGTGATTCTGTTCGCTTCATCAGACATACAGCTCTGTGGCTGCTTGCCAAAGTGTGTGAAGCAGAGAGAATGAGAATTGGCACCTTAAAGTCCGAGACCATAGTTCTCAGCTGGAGAAGGGTGGAGTGCCAACTCTATGGCAGCAATAAGCTGCTGTCACAAGTGGAAGACTTTAGGTATCTCAGTGTCTTTTTCATGAATTAGGGGAGACTGAAATGTGAGACACGAATATGACAGATGGATTGGTGTGTCGTCTGTGATGCATATGCAAGGCTGTTCATTTACCGGTTGATCTACGCTAAGAAGTCTGAGCTGTCTGATGGCAGGTAAAATGGTGCATGTGGTTTTCTCTGGAAAAAAACTCAGAGGTGGGACTCAAAGAAGCTGCTGTGAATGACATATTTTGCCTTTTTTAAGCTCATGCGCTGAGGTGCTTGCAAGAAAAGTTGTGCTACTGAAGATAAGTATTTGACAAAACAAGATGATGCTTTTGTTAGCGCTTGGGGTCAGATTTACAGTTCTTTCCACCGTCTGCTGCCACCAAAATCTCTGAAACTTGCCATAACCTGATCCAGCAGATTTCCCTCCAAAGCCAAATTGTTGTCTCTGCCCTGCTGCTTGAGACAGAATCTGCTCACTGATGCTCTCTAACATGCACTGAAATTACACTCATTTGTCTAAATGGATGTCTGCTCTCT